AACTTGCGTCATTTATGGCGTAGGCGAGATACCCGTCTATCAACCAAAGGACGGGTTTACTGCGCAGAAGTTTGTTCCGTCCTACTTTATGGCAGTGAAACATGGCCGGTAAGAGTGGAGGATATTCGTAGGTTACTAGTATTTGATCATAGGTGTCTTCGAAATATTGTTCGTATATCCTGGGACCATCGAATAAGTAATGCAGTTGTTGGGAAATGGGTACTAGTTAAGGATGGCAAATCATTTGGTGACGTAGTGAAACTACATCATTCGAGATAGCTGGGACACGTGGTACGTATGCCCAACCACCGACTGCCTCGACGTGCGATGTTCAGTGGTATAGGAGCAGATCGGAAGAAAGCTAGGGATGGCCAGATCAAAACATGGCACAAGTCCATGAAGTCACTGACAAGTGGACTGAGTCATGTTGGTAGGTGTAGACTACCTGGTTGGGGACCGCGAGATGATAGCAACCGATGGTTTGAGACATAGCTCAAGATCGTTTGAAATGGCGCAGGTGCATCCACTCTTTTTGTTCTCTCAAATTTTGATCGCCTTATTCCTCCTTGTCTCTTTTTTTTCTCTTCCCAAATTTATTTCACTGTATTACACTCTTTAAGTAACATCTCCAAACACTAATCTTCCCGATTACTGTTTGTTTTCTTATTACCTCTACGGAATTTGAATCGACCACTGTATCTGTGTGCTAATGTGGTGTGGCAACTCGAACAGATGTACGTACGTACGAAGTTCTACGTCGTTACTGACTTACTGACTGACTGCAAATATGGTATTAACTCTTACAAGTGTCAGATTTAACTTTTTATTATCAACTCCTTCGGTTAGATTGTAAACGTATGGGGTTTTACATCCTGATATGAATCGCTAAGCCCCATTAATTAAACCATCGTCACCTACGAATAACTCAGTTTTCATATCATGGGTTGGTGCTAGTCAGTTTTATTCCAGGTTTGTTCCTAACGTGATGCACATTTCATCACGACTTGTCGAATCGGTTTGTAGTAGAGAGGTTTGGTCAAGACAAAAAATCATGAAGATGTCTATTACTTTCATGGCTTAACAACTTTTATGTTCTCAACATTTTTCTCGCTAACGATCCAAAATCCAATCAATCCAAAAATCAGTAATCAAGGAGTTCTGTGATATACATTTTAGATAGTCGGTATGTGGAGCAGTATGATCTTAGCCAGTTAGTTATTGCGAGGGGTGAGTAGTGTAGCGTGGCGTCGAATCGAAATTGACTATGAACACCACTACAAAGGAACGCGTGCTAGTATATTCACAAAATCCTTCGGAAGACAAATATCAGAAGGCATTTAATGGACCAAATCGAGATATATCTGCTGTCGATCTCGTGGTATCGAAAGGATACCAAGATCGTGCCAAGATACAAGCTTGGGTACAGAACGTAACCGAATCCATGCGAGTTCACAATCAAAGTGTAAAAGTAATGGATGCTTTTAGCACAGTTAAACAAAAGCACATTAGAACAGTCACTGGTACAATTGGTTATAATAATAATTGTTTCCAATAAACCAATCGTGTTCTCGTGATAAAAGTGAGTCACTACAGTAGCACAGTGTTGCCAAGCATGGTCTGGTGCACGTTCTTGACCGAGTACCTTTGAGAAATGTGTATCCTGTAAAACTAATTAAGTCAGTATCAGAGTTGAAGACTCATAAAAATCAATTTGTTAATGGTCTACTGCCATAGTCCGGAAATTGGATTAAGAACTGTGTGCTTATGATTTCATCATTGAACATTGAGTGGCTAAGGGTCTACCACATGCGGTTGAAAGACCATCCAATGAAGGCGATTGTCTGTTGGGACACCCATTAACTAATGATACGGTAGAACATGTAAAGGACACTTGTTAGTACTTTGGTTGGAATGTTCAGCGTAGGCACAAGATTTCTGAGTTTTGCGTAAGGAAAGATAACATATGCATGCGTGCAGAAAGTAGTTTGTAATTTGGTGTTAGAATAATTACTTCCCAAATGCTTTGACTTTTATGACTTTGTGATATTTTTTTGTCCATCTAAGAGCGAAAAAATGGAATCACTTCCTCGTCAGACGTGCTGATAGCCTGAGGCTGGTGCCGATATAAGTCGAAAATCGAAAGACGTTCCTACCTTTTTAATTAACCTACCGTACAATAAATCCACTTGGAATCCTTGGCCTAGATTTCGTGAATCGTGGCAATGTGTTTATGCCATTTTCAGACGAGCATTATTGTTTAGATAATCTGTACTTCCAAAGTATCTGCTGGTGGTACATTAATTATGGAATACTGGATCATGTGTAAATCTTGTGCATTCCATTTACCTAGCAGACCGTTTGGTTCCTGAAGATTCTAATTAACTAATTTAACCTTCAGATGGCTTTGGCGTCAGCGTATACGTGTCACCATAACTCATCCAAAAAATGATCAGTTGATAATGCAACCTTTGGATAAAAATAAACCGATTAACCAAACTATTAATGAAATAGAATTATCAAATACCCCACTGGATTCTTCATCATGCCAACTATTTCCATCTTGTTGTCCAAGTGAAATGAAGACAACATTACTACCTGTATATGCTTTGAATGAGGTTTTTGCTGGGGCTGCTTCAAGTGCATGGTTAGTTAATCAGTTATTTTTTGTAACACATAATTTGAGTACATAGAACTTTTTATGGTGTGAAACTGTCAGTTCGTAAAGAATTATTATTTTCTTTATGAATCAGGAGTTTAAAAAATCACCTTTTACCCACTTGGTCTCAAATTCAAACGTTTCTCTATCTACGACGGTTTGGGCGACTGAACAGTCACCAGCTATCACACTCAGTGTCATACTCAACTACCGTCTATTCTGCAACTAAAATGTTTTATTTGACCCATCCCAAATCACAGCATGAATTGAGAGTTAACAAAAACACAAACAAAAAGGATATAGTAGTAAAAACATTTCTGACTATATTTTGCCGAAATTACCTCAGTAACTCAGTTTTGAGGTGACAGTAGCTAAGCTGTCAGATATATTTAGTGAGTTGTTTACGTTGTTTGGTATTTGGTATCAGTGTCGTAATTCCTACCCTGATTTTGGAATAGTCAAGTGGATTATCGTGACTAAAGGATACTACAAACTAAGACTCAACATAAATGATGGCAATAAACTAAGTACATAAATATGCAGAGATGGATGAGGGCTAGTAGTGGAACGAACCCAGAGCTTGCGTATCGTCCCAATTGGAACTGAATGTGCCTGCATTCAGAGTCGATGTTCATCCCGGGACTCGAACACAGTACCGTTCGCTTCGAACTTCATCGGGTTATACACCTAGCTAATGAGTCCAGATAGTTACTAGCTTGTTCAATGTGGTGAAGTTTTAATTCATTTTTATATTGTTTGTTTGGATCTTCCCATTTATGTTTAGGACTGCAATTGATCAGTCTCGTATTAGCATATATTCATCGTGTGCGGATTGCCTCGATATTTCCTTAAGTCACATGCATTATAAGCTCGGAGTGAACATCAACTTTGAGATACGGGCACATCCAGCTGACGAGTCCCGAATAGGACTAAACGCGCATCCTGGATTCCACTGCCAGCCACTATCTATCTCTGCTTATAATGCTTGTGGTTCAAGGCAATATCGAAGCAATCCTCACATGATGCACATATACTAATAAGAGACTGGTCAATTGCAGTCCTAAATATCAATGGAACGATCCAAAAATATATAAATGAATTAAATACATAAAGATGTACATAGTTAATGAGTTACATCAATTAGTTAGTTCGTTATTGTTGAATAGGAGCGTAACGTTGACTAAAGTCAATGTTTTACAAATCTCATTTGGATATAAGTAATGTTCAATATATACATCATTGTTATGTAGTTGAATAAATTCACTGTTTATTTACTCCCTATAATGTGTAATATTCACATACACTTGCCAGTTGGAATTCAACATAATTCATTTATTTCACTAAGAGCATACATAGAAGAAAAAAAACTAGGTTAGACTATCGTTTACTAAGTTAAATGTGTATACTGTATTTATTTTTTTGACTTATAGTACTATGCCTCGTAGTTTTCTTTAAGGGTGCAGGTACGTTCACTCTGTATGTTCGTTTCGATCTTGAATTATATTATTCCTCTACATATCTACTATCATAAAGCAAATATACAACTCAGCAACTTAATTATATTTGATGGGTTTTGTGGATATTATAGTAATTTCAATGGTTAAGATCATGAGTCAGTTGAAGCTAGACCACCATGGAAAACCTGGAAGCACTGGATAGCCCATACTAGGATGAAACGGCCGTCCAGTGCCTCCAGGTTTTTCATGGTGGTCTAACCTCAATTGACTCAAGATTTCAACTATTGAACTTTCTAAAATCTCCACAAAACCCCTTCTGACATAAAATATTTGTAATATGACATGATCCTGTGTGCTAGAACGCTTAATATTATAATTTCAAATGATCAGTTTCTACAATATAGTTTAAAACTACATTATTACAATTTTCTATAAATACATTAGATTATGCATTGATTTGATGGGAAATGTACTATTTGTTAATAATGCTAACCTGTTTGACTGAATAAACTTTTGTAGTTTTTATTCATTGAAAACAATTAACGAACAACCACAAATTAATTAAATTCATTTATTTAATAGAAATCTATCAACTGGTTAATTTAATTATCAATTCAATCAGTAGATTTTATTGGTATCATAGACTTTGATCCATGTTTACTTCTTCCTTTTATTATCTGTGAGGAAGCTTTAATGATAAATCTTGTGATCGGGTGTTGTTTTTTAAAAAATTATTTTATAATCTTTCTATACACTCATTTCTGCCTCCTATTATTCAACATGATTTGTTAGTTGAAATTGAAGCAAGTAGATTTTGACAAAGTTTCATCAACGAATTTTTGATTCATGTTATTTTCTCTGTTTCTTACAAAAGTAGTCTTTATCTTCATTATTTCTGTTTATTTATGTAAGTATTCATATCATTTCTTTTGTTAGAGATTCAGATTTCACCATGATATACGGAGTTTTCATCCTTGTCTTAGTTGTTTGTTTGTGAATACGAACTCATTGAATATTGTCGGCAATCAAACAAAGTTAAGTGTTCATGCACAAACATTAATATCTTAATAAGTGATATGTGTATTAGGTATGTGAAAAATCGATCTTTTGAAGCAACGTTTTACTCCACTACAATGTAACATGGTTGTTTCTTCTGGTGACCTTATTTGTGTTATCTGCATAAGTATATTTGTATTTCCACTGATTAATTTGTTGTTAAGTCAGTCAGTAATGATATATGACATTTCTTTTCTATGAATAGTAGATTCTTAAAATCTTAGAAAGTTTATTAATTTAGTGAGAAGTAGGATGGTGTACGCTTGCTATGTGGACAGATATAAGTAGTATGTAGCGAAAATCGGAAGTGGAATATTTACCAGCAGAATATTGAAATGTAAACTACAACAGCAACAAGAAGAAGAAGAAGAAAGAAAACAGAAATCGGGATAACAATAGAATTGGAAGAATGATGGAGTATGTTAAAGACAACAAAAGGAAGATGTGCAAATACTGTATTCAATGTATGATTTTCATATTTTACAAAACCACTGTGTATTTTTTACAAAACAATAAATTGCTCTGCCTTACTTGAGTCCTTCTTCACCACAGCAGTAGTCTGTGGTAGAGTAGTTGAAAAAATTGTTACGATTTACTTGCAAATTAATTCTCAGGCTTAGTTAAATACTAAACTAGTTATTGTAAACTATTGCTTAATTATAATGATAATAATAACGGTCTTATTCGTTATTATGTGCTTAGTACATTATGGAATAGTCAGTATACAATATTTCAACAAGTTTCTCTCACTCTTTGTCGATATCGCAACATACATATGTATGGTAAAACTAGATCAAATTTCAGTAAGAAAAGAATATTACAGTAGAGAATAACCTGGATTTTCAAGAGCATAGGTCTTTTGATCAGGTCAACTTTTACAATCTGTTCATCGCATTATATATTTGTTAGATATGGTATTTTATAGATTTTGTATTATTCTTTGCGTGTATGAATGTATGTCTTATTCAATTAGAATAGAAGAAGAAGGAATTGTGAATTAATTGAACACTTTATATGTGATAAAATAACACTTACCAGTTGTTTGCAAAATTTAGGATGACTGTTCACAACTATATTTATAATAATACTAGAAGATTTATAAATTATCCTACTAATTTCCTTCAATGCTCTTCGAAATATAGCAGTTTTTGAATGTCCAGTAAAAGGTAATGGTAAGCAGTATACGACTATGTGTAATATATAGAAGTTTACAAGTTATAAAAGTAGATACCTAGCTGGTTCTGGTTAACATAAACTTTTTGGGTAGATAAAAACTGAGCTCCGAAAACCCGACTGATGTCATTTATATCACATTGGACTCGGTCGAAGATACCTCTTGGATTATAATGAATAATAATTTAAGTTTGATAAAAAGTTTTGGATGTTTCCTTCCTGCGAAATCTCTCTGAGATGTTCAAACAGCTGATTAATATTCACAAGTTTTTTTATGAGATGTTTCATTAGTGTAGCACTTTGTGACGTAAAGTCCTTTCAAATAGCCATCCATCGGTCAATATCATTTCCATAATTTCTGAAATGAAATAGACATTACTGATGGTAGTTGATGTTAGTCGCGCAATATTGCAAACTAATAGAGCTGTGAAATATATCCCAATATATGTCAGCTCGGTGGTCTACAGATGATGCACTTAACGGAACGCCTAAATATCATGGATTCAATTTCTCGTGTCATTGTGAAAATATACTACTAAATACTTTCCAACTATGATAAACCAACTGTCGTCCATAGTTTTCTGTAGTTAACTGGCTAAAGCGATCCAGTGGTATAAACTTTTTTCTATATCATATTTACTGATATAGTCATATTTAAAACTCAGCAAGTATTGATCACTCTAGTACGCTAATCATTTTTTGTTTAATCTCAGTGTCTCCGTTTATGATATCTCAATTGATTCCGGGAAAACTATTGAGAAACAAAAATCAAGTGGTCTAGTCATTTCTACTGGTACAGGTTCAACTTCATGGTCTCATCAAATTAACAAAATATCCAAATCGAATATTAAAAAATTATTTGGTCTTCTTCAACAGATAAACCCAATTATTTTGTCGAATTATTTACAAGATCATGGTACAAATACATCTTCATTTGGGAATTCAAATGTCATTACATTGGATTGTTTAATTGAAACAATTGAGGCATTATATAATAAATCATTTATTTTTAATCCTGAAGCATGTCAAATGATGTATACAGTTAGAGATCCATTGAACAATGGTAAGTTTTTGTTTAATATTTTACATAACAGTTAGGTTAAACAAATTACAAATCACTAACAGATATCCAGATATTTATAAAATTGACCTGAAGGGAAATAGTATGCCTTTTGAATATTTAGGACTTTATATTAAATCCTTAGGAAATGAATTTTTAAATGAAACTTAACCTTGCTGTCTCAGGAAATTGGAAAAAATTGACTATATTCATTTCACAACATTTGGAGATACAAACGGTTTGACCAAGATGTACTCAAGAGTACAGTTGCTCGATTTCAGGACTCAAGAATAAGTTTTCAGAGCATTTTAAAGCTTATGCAGCTAATCAAGATCTTTAGCTGGAAACAGTAGAATTGCAAACTGATATCTGTCTGGAAAATTTCTATGTCGACTGAATTCGATTCGTTATTAACATGGATCAAGTTTCGGAGTCGACAACACAATGAATGTTCGTTTTGTTTAAGTTGATTCAACCTTGAGCACAAGCTTTCATGTGTGCGATTCAGTAAGTCAAAATTTAGATCTCAGCTTACAGAAACACATATCAGGTTAGTTTGGATAGTCAAATAAGAAGACAAATGTTATCAGAACTATGTGATATATTAGCGCAATACATTTCGAACAATCTGATCACACATATGCTCGATAAGAACATTTGTATGAGAGAAAACGAAAGGTAAACTAGACAAATGGAGGAAACAAAGATAATAAAGGAAATAATACGACAAACAATTTGAAAATCCACCACTCTGGATAATAAGCCAATATTACCAGGGCAGGTTTAAGCTGAGAACAAACCGTTTTGGAATACTTAAAGGGGGTTTGAATTTTCGTATGGCTAAAGCTTCAATAAGCCTCAGTTTACACCACTTACCGATTGTACAACACCACGAAAGCCGTGTTAAGATCAATCTTATGATCTGATTCAACTGTATTTGGCAATAGAGGATGATGGATGTTTATCATCTACTCTTGTTGGGTGATTTGATTTCATTTGTTTTTTTTAAAGAAATTTAGATTCATGTTCACACACTCTAATCTGGAGACCACGATTACTCCTTCCTATGTATGTGTGGCCACACACACATATTTAAATTGATAAACACATTGGGATGTGACACAATCGTTTTCTTTTCTTTTAGATTTTTGGTGAAGCATTGACCTTGTTTTTCCTTTGATAATGACCTTTGCTGCATAGTACGTCTTGTTACTAACTGATTTAAGCCTTTGTTTTAATGAAAGGCTATTTGATTCATCTCTGAAGGGTAATGTGATATAGAGAGGCTTTTTTGATAAAATTAGCAAAGACTAGAGACGATCATCATAGTAATGATAATTAGAAAGATTAAAGATCGAGATTATGGTTCGGAAGAACAAGATGTAAAGGAATGTATGGAAAAATACTGGAACTCAAAACCTAGAGGGTGACAAACAGTAGACTCATCCTTGCTATTGTGACCTATTCTGGCTCTTGTCACTCGTCTCTATCCACTGATTTTGGTGACTGGGTAAACCTCAGTAAGGTACTCTGCATCTACCAACATACCCCATACCGTAGGTTAATGACTTCATGAACTGATATCACGTTTTGTTTTGATTACATGTACCTTTCTCTTAGCCTATTCTACCACTGGCTAACAACGCATGAGGTAGGTGACGGTTGGGCTTACGTAACACATGATCCAACTATTTTAAATAATTAGTATTCACTACCTCACCAAGTGATTTATCATCTTTACATAGTACTCTTCATCTAACCGCAGTATCACTCACTTGGTTTTCAATAATGGCCTAGCTTAGATCGATTATTGTTTTTACAAGTTTTTTATAGGTTACCAAAATAATTTATTCATTTAAGACTTAAGTGTTTTTTATGAATTTAGATCCGAACAATGAGTTTAAAAAATGCACTGAATTCAATGGAAATCTGTTACTGACGTTGAATATTGCGTTTATCACTTACCCGATTAACTGCTGCATATACCCTTTTGGACTTGCGAAACAGTGGTTTAATGCTTAATACAATTGACTTCATACATTAGGTTCCCGGTTCAGATTCCACTTAACTTGTTTTACTTCAATTAATCTAGTAGTAGTATTGTTAATCAGGACTTAAAAAATCACTGTAACTCCTTTTAAACTGTAATCAAATTCTATTGATCTAGTTGCAATGTGCCCATTACTCTAAGTAACGAGTCACCTCGTTCATTGTTTTAGTTTTAGGTGCTTGAAAGTGCTCTGTGGCATACCTTAGATCTTGGTTTCTCACTGATCACTATTTGTTGGCTGGGAACTGATAATCCTTGTAGGTTTCGAACCTACGTCACTCAGCTTGTTTGGTAGGAATCTCTCAGACTTCAAAACTGGGTTATGTGGGTTTAGACCTCACATCACTTCTCTCACGAATGCAGGTACGCTATACTGGGGAGTGCCAACTTACGTGAAACGTAGTTCTTAGGTTTCTTGTCGACTATCTCTACGCATATAACATATTCAGTAACTGTGTAATTATCATAACTATCTCACGTTAATCCATAATACACAAAACTACATATTACTAGTTTGATAGAATATTCATTTTATACTAAACATAGTCAATAATAGCTAAAATTTTGAACATGTAAATCATATATGTCAATTTATAGAATTAATCTATTGTATAAATATTATTATGATTATCGTTATTTTTACTGTCACAATCAAATTTCTATCTAAATAGGATAAGGTCATTTCTTGAAGAACTAAATTTATGCTATTTTTGCTCTTAGGTGTATTCAAAGTTACCAAACCGCATGGTTTCGCTTCAGAGTAAGTTTATCAGTAGTATGTATATTTTTTTCTTTAACGTTATGGGATTTGCGCTACAGTGTTAACGTTGTTTTTCAAATATGCTGTTGCTGGATTTTCAAAATTTTTCTCCTAATAATTGGATCAGTTTGATCGGGTCGATCGATATTAAGAGTAGTTGACCATTTGTTGATTAGTTCACTTAACTTTCATTGGACTAATCCTTTTCACTCTTACCAGTAACATACAATAACTATGGAACAGCGCCTGAAGAACTTCAATAACTATTGATTGTTCTCAATCAGCATTTAATCAGAAGACATAAAAAATTAACTAATCGTTTTATAGCTGTTAAAAAGATTTCCCCATCATATTAAAATACAGATATTTGAACGGAGAATATTCTTTTCAATAAATTCTCTTCAGGTTCTATAGTTCTATTTCCAAATTAGAAAACCCTAAAGTGAACAGATTCTAGCCAAGTACATCGTTTCAAATTATAGAGTGTGAATTCAAGATTGTTTGTAAAATATCATAAAATTGTTAATGTTGAAACGATTACTATGCACCGGTAACTTAAATAAGTTGATGCGCTAAATGGAATTGGAAGATAAATAATGAGTATCAGATATAGATGACGTAAAGTAAGAGACAATAATTTAATTATAGTCAGATCAAATGTTTGTTGTAAGATTATATAGTATTATGAATTCAGTATGAAACAATTACTGTGATGGCTAAATAGGTTAATCATCTGCTCAGAAGATTTTAGTGGCCCGGGATCTAATTTTAATCAGATCGTATGAATGTTGTCGAAATATACATCCTGACTATCCTCGTATATAATCATCGACTTAATCCACGTTAGTAAATAACGGAACTAAATAAGTCAAATACGAGAATGGATTTTTGAATATATGTATTTTGTATATTCATTGATCTGGGCAGGCAATCAGAAGGACTAAGCAAAGAGAAGAGAGTGAAGGGAATTGATGTGCGGTAGAGAAGGCGGTTGAGCGAACACCCATTAATCAATATTTATAACCAAATAAAAATAGGTTACAGACATGTGATTAGTAGGATAAGATTATATATACACACTCGTATAAAAACAGTTAAGTTTGATGAGTGAATAATTAGCAAGCTCAAAACGTGACTTAAGAAGACTGGATAAATTGGCCTGTCCAGAAGCTAGAATAAGGTATGTGGGCTTAACATAGCAACCGACACTACACGATTAATAGTGATGATGAACCAATAATAAGGATATATATAAATTCATAGGTTGAATGTACATTTATTACCTGATCACACATCAGTGATGAGAAATCTTAATACGTACATGATCAAACCATAAGTAATGTAAAAACTCAGCCTCCATAATTAATTAACTAATGGATTTTTGTTAAATTCTTCAAATTAGATTGTACATCCGATCACTTATGGATGAAGGTCATTTGGCATTTGACAGTGGTATCACATTTCCTTTCAAATCGGGATCCATTGCAAAATTTACCGTTCTTCCTTCTGATGCATTATGCTGTGTTACATTTGATGTTCCTTGTCCAGTGAACTAATATCTCAGGTATTTTTAGTTCAGATCATTGACTACCAGCGTTGGTTGTAATCATTTGTAAATGTATCATTTTGTATTATTTACTTGCACTATTCCTTAGAGATTTTGTCATCATACCATAAATGAATTCATTATCAAGCACTTTTGTATTAATTCACGAATTATGTTTCTGAGATTCTGTACATCATGAAATTTGCAATGCAATACCCATACTGTAACTTGTACGATTTTGGTTGTTTTATTATTATTATCATTGGCTTTATTCAGCATTATATACTCAATACAATATCGACTTCTCCCCGCAAGGTATTTCAACAAGTTTCTTGAAGAGAATGAGGAAAAGGGTGAAGGAAACTGATAACTGCATACATATATACACAAGTTGAGTAGATAAACTACCTGGAATTAAATGAGATGTTTTTTCGAATCTGTACATTTTCAAAAAATTAGAAACGTGTTTAAGAATACAAGCTATTGACTAGGTCGACTCTAACAACCTGTTCGTCATATGTTATATTTGCCAGGTAAATAATTCATAGAACTTTTATACCTTTGCTTGGGTGCATGGATTCTGATGTATTGACATCTGTTTCTACCAGAAGACATACAAGGAGTGGATGGTTAATACCTGATAAGATAACACCTGCCAGGAGTTTGCAAGAATTTAGATGTCTATTCATAATTGTATTGGCAATGACCTCAAAAGAGTCACCACACACCCTGATAACTCCCTTCAGCACTCCCAACAATACAGCGAAATCCCGGGAAAGAATAATGGGTAATATACAGGGATTGACATATTGTGAGAGTAAATGAAGAGTAATGACGAAAGGCGCAACCTCCTTACGTGCTAAATCATACGGAAAACTTTATCCGAAAAATTAAAACATTAGCAGACCAGAGAAGAAAATTATACAAGGTCAAACGACCTTTGACATCACTACTATTACAAAATTTTCGATAATACAAACCTTGTGGGAACCCAGCAGCGTGTTCATGTGCTGCTCGTGTCTCAGGCTACAGTTAACAATCTGATATTTAGAAGTTTTAAATGTGACGTCATTAACAACAGACCGTTGTTCAATTAGAGACGAAGACTCATTCATTTCAATAGTGTGTAAAGCACTAGAAATCTTTGAAAATACAGTGAAACTAGTCGTTGAGTAGAGAATATGAACACTTTCCTCCAAGCACAAAATGCTGTTCTCTTCCAGAGAGGTAAGAACACAGTCAGTTGGTTATCCAACCGTCAATGTCAGGATGTAGGAAGCGTGACATCAGATGATTGATGTGGAGAGGTCATCTTTGAGTCACAAACATTCAGCTGGTTATCGTCACTAATACATCTCCCACCTGTAATCGCTTTTAATAGTTTCCACATGCATGAAGATATTCTTACATCTTTAATTAAAGCTAAGCCTAAAGAGCGTCTAAACGAGTAAGAATACCTACTATGTTTTGATGACTTAGTGATGAAACCAAATTATAGTCACATTAATAAAATCACTACATATAAATGGAACTGAGTAATTTGAAAGCGATTGCAGCAAATTCGTCGAATCCGTCAGCGAAAACAGGTAGTGAGAGCGATGTCTGTCCTGGGTTGGGCAAATGTATATAACATAAACGTAATTATATTTGTTCAAGTGTTTTGGATGGCGTCTTATATTTAAACAGTCCACAAAGTCGTTAGAAGACTTAAAATTAGATTGACATCACCTCATATTTACGGATGTAACTACATCGCAACCACTATCTGATGACATGGCAGATCTTGACAATAAGTATTAAAACCATGTAGCGATACCAAACAGACATCTTTAAAATTCTTTGGCCATGATTCTTGTATTGTGATTATGCCATAATTATGAAATATGTTTCAACTTAGTAGGAACTGAGGATGATCCACTTTGCCATTTAGTGATTGACAGTCGATATTCATCCAGATTACGATTTTGTGATGCAAATATGGTGTCCCGACAGAAGCTGCCACCTTGACATGGTGGTCGGGCTTGCCTATCGTGATGACCCAACCCAGCTATATTAGCTGGAACGTATGTTCCTGTATGTTTTACCATGCCAGGCAGGTCGATTGGAGAACGGTAAGACTAAAAGTGGCAACTCTGTCTGAGGGCGAAGTGACAGAAGTAAGGTGTTTCCCTCGGTCAACCAGCATCTGCAGTGATACTGCCTTCTCACAAGGAAGGAAGGGGTTAGAAAAGGTCGACCCTAAAAAAGCCACACTCCACCTTACCTCACGGGTTTCCGTCTCCGGCGGTAAGGCCTTTTGAAGAACGGAGCTAACACGTTAAAAACTTGCCACAAAAAGGCCGTGCGTAACCGGCCTCAAGCAGTTGTCCCTTGGGCTCTGCAGTCACACTCCCAGGTTGTTGAGACCAACATTAATCAAACTTTCTTTCCAGGTTCCTCGAGGAATACCCTTCCATGGTGTGAGCAGCCGGGAAGTGACATTAGCCCTCATACCCGTAACAGAACACGAGACCAAGGTGGTTACACTCAAATCCTCCCTACACCTCCTAATACCTCTCTTATCTCCCCGACTAACCCTTCTCACGTCCCTTTATCACCTCGCACCGCTAAGGCAAACGATTCGAGTACGCCGAACGTTATCCCTGGTCTCCTGAAACCACGCTCTAAACTTCATGTTGGAGCTTATAACGTCCGAACACTGTGCCAAATAGGACAATAGGCTTCCTTAGCTAAGACTTTAGAATCTCGCGCCATCGATGTGTGCTGCGTCTCCGAAACGCGCATACAGGATCCGAGTAGCGTCATTCATTTTACATCACCGTGTCAAAATAAAGAACCAACTCGATTCACACTTCGTGTATCTGGAAGTCCAAGTGCAGCTTCTTGTGGTCTCACCGGCGTAGGCATAGCATTGGGTCCTAGAACAGAACTAGCTCTCTTAGACTGGATCCCAGTAGACAGTCGTTTGTGAGCTGTCTGACTAAACGAAACAGTAAGGACTTGGAAAGATAGCAACACTCGTCGTTGCTTCTTCGTTGTCTCTGCCCATTCTCCCACTGACTGCAGCTCAGATGATGTAAAGGATGAGTTTTACAGAAAACTCTTCGACCTCCTCCTAAACGTTAGGCGCTCTGATGTAGTAATAGCGGCTGGTGACTTTAATGCTCAAGTAGGTAAAATAAGCGATAGGGAAAGACACCTGGGTGGATCTTATGGTGTCGTGGCTCAAAGAACAGATAATGGCGACCGTCTGTTGCAGCTATGCTTAGATAACCTCCTGTTTCTTGCAAATACTAACTTTAAGCATAAGGAAAAACATCTTTTGACATGGCAATCTCCGAATTCGTCCCAATGTTGGACCCAACTAGATCACATCGCTATCAGCTATCGATGGAGGGGCTCGATAGAAGACTGTCGCTCGTTCTGGAGTACATGCTTGGATTCAAATCATGCCCTAGTGCAAGCGCGTATTTGTTTGCGTCTTATTGGACATAGGAAATATGCTGCAAGCAAACCTCTTATGGTCCTACTTAATGATAGCCAAGCTAAGAATATATTCCAAAAACAACTAGAAAACCAGTTAGGTAGCCATGTAAGTGATGCCCACCCCGAAGCAGCGTAGAATGATATCCGAAAAGCTGTGGAAACAGTAATGATATCTGCTAGTAAGGTAAACCATAAGGTTAAGGAGAAACACTGGGTCTCAGCAGCATCTACCGCACTGACAGGTGCTCGAAAACTTATCTCATTTGGCTCTGAACATAACGAAGAGCGGAGTCAGCTTAAGCGCATGCTGATAAGAAACCTACGCAATGATTGTGAACAGCGATGGGTAGCGAAAGCAAGAGATGGAGAAGGCAGCGGCACTCGGTAACAGTAGACAACTGTTCAGACTTGTTAAGGAGACCGGTATTAGGAATCCAATTGTTAGCGAAACAATGTCAGAGAAAGATGGACATATTATTCATTCTCAATCCAGGAGATTGGTTCGATGGATCAGTTCAACTGGCCTTCAGCCACACTTCGGTTTCCCACGATCTCCAGTCAACCTGAATGGCAAGTTAATGTAGGTCCTCCGTCTCTTTACGAAGTTGAAAAAGCCATAGGAAATCTGAAGCGAGGGAGAGCAGCAGGCCCTGACAGGTTTACTCCTGAGATTTTTAAAGATGGTGGTTCAGTATTAGTAGTGAGATTAACTGAGATCTTAGGTAGTAACTGGGAACTGAACGCAATCCCATCTGACTGGTCTCAATCACTGCTTGTGCCAGTCTATAAGAAAGAACAAAAGCCCTCTTGTGACAATCACAGAGTAATCAGTTTGACAAATATAGTGTCTAAAATATTAGCTTCAATAATGCTTCGACGCCTAACCAAAGCTCGTGAAGAACAGACTAGAGAAAATCAGGCTGGTTTTCGACCTGGACGTGGTTGTATAGACCAGATATCCACACTACGTCAAGTTCTAGGACATAGACACACATTCAGACTCCCCACAGTCGTAGTATTTCTCGACCTTAAGGCGGCATTCGACTCTGTTGATCGTGAGGTTCTATGGCAGTGTTTGTCACTGAAAGGAGTACCAAAGAAGTACATTAACCTTATAAAGGCTCTCTACTCGAACACAACTGGTCGAGTGAGAGCTTATGGCGAACTGTCATCAGAATTGATTACCTCAAGTGGTGTTCGTCAGGGCTGTCCACTCTCTCCATTCTTGTTCAACTTTGTGGTCGACGTACTTTTAGAGATAACACTTTCCTCATCTAAATTTCCGGGGGTTGAACTTCTACCGGGAGGTTCACTTGTTGACTTAGAATATGCCGATGACATAGTTCTATTTGGTGAAGACGCTGACAAAATGCAGAGTCTTCTGACCACTCTAAGCAACAATGCAAGCATGTTCGGGATGCGATTCTCTCCCTCGAAATGCAAAATGTTGCTTCAGGATTGGGTTGCATTGACACCCGAACTAATGATAGGGAGTGAAGTAATTGAACGTGTCAACCGCTTCCCTTATATTGGAATTCTCATCAGCCCTTAAGATCTGGTGTGTGACAAAATCTCAGCACGGATACAGAAGGCTCGACTAGCTTTTACCAACTTGCGTCATTTATGGCGTAGGCGAGATACCCGTCTATCAACCAAAGGACGGGTTTACTGCGCAGAAGTTTGTTCCGTCCTACTTTATGGCAGTGAAACATGGCCGGTAAGAGTGGAGGATATTCGTAGGTTACTAGTATTTGATCATAGGTGTCTTCGAAATATTGTTCGTATATCCTGGGACCATCGAATAAGTAA